ACTGTTGGCCAGTTAACCCATGCATCAGTAATGGATTGCCCGTCGATTTTGCCAGCGGGCTACATTTCGATGCCGGGTAGCGGCAGCTAGCATCAGGTCTATTAATATATAGACTGGCTTTTAGAAAATAATATGATTTACCCGCGAAGTGTAACCTTGTCGCGAACAAACTTTTTGTCCTTTGGCCAATTGAACCTGCAACATGTAGCCTCAACATCCAGCCACACGGTATGGGCTCCTAATCTAATAGCACAAAGCAGTTCAGCTCCTCCTTTGTTAACAGTCCCAACCACACTCCATGTTGAACCCTCCCTCTTCGCACGCGTCAAAAGGTTACCGACCCCACTTACCCTTCACACGTCAGTGGAAAGCACATCTTCCTGTCTTTCATAAAGCCATAAAAATGGTCAGGTCAGCCGCGAAACAAAGAAGGTTTTCAATCGCTCCACCAGACCATGTCCTCAGAAACATCGTTAAAATCTGGCCCTGTGGCGGCCCATTGCAGCCCTTTGACTGCTGACTCCCAATTCCGGCAGCACGTGCATGGCTTTTCCTACACCTTGATGCTATACACACCGATATCACGAGCTCAGTTGAGCCGTTTCTAGCATTTGTGGCGCAATCTCTGCGATTTCTCTTCTACACCTTCACAGTTACGGAGGGAATGGTTCCCCCTTCTTTTACAACCTCTTGACCCTTGACTTTTGACCCCCAGTTTCGCACATCCCCCCAACGACCCCCGTTTCGGATTACCCCCTACTGTCCCAAACTTTCGAACTCCGCAGCATCTGAGCCGTTTAGAATTTGTGCGCGAACTGTCTGACTATCGTCAGATGAGACTAATCCAAACACCTATGCCTGGACATACGTTACTAAGCAAGCTCATAATTCACACTTACACTTACCAACACTGCTCCTTACGATTAGATCCAGCATCTAGACTAGATAGATAAATAGATTAGATATCGCTTTTTGCATTAGCTGATATAACCCCCACGTGAGTCTTGCTAACAAAATGGCCAAGCCCTCAGAAAACAACTCAAGGATGCCTAAATATACGAAACCACTACTCGTATATGTATGCTCAAACTGGAATGAGAGCCAATGTGAATGACGAAAGTCCGTAGCATCTTCCACTCACTTCTATTCATCATTCCTAATAATTTATTGCCTAAAGTATTTTTGTTTAGGCTCCTTGTGGAGTATAGAGACTTGGCAACCGTGTTACTTTGGTTTTTGTTACTGGCCTCGCCCCCAAAATCTTATGATGTTGACTAGAGCAAATAGCAAATTCTTAAGGTTGACTTATTATAAACCTAGCCAAGCTACCTGCTTACCATTTTGAGTGGAAAATTAATCACATAAGATGCAACACATATAACACCTCGATCTGACTCTGCAATAAAATATGAATTCTTTGGAAACTAGGAAGACTAACTCTACTGCCCTGGCTGCACACACTACCCGCACATGCCCCCCATTGATGCTAGCGCCACCTAGAGTTGGGATGAGAGCCTGTGTGTGCGTAATGCATCGTGGGCCAGCTTGGCAGCATGCACTGCTGTTCCCCATGACAGCATGACACCAAACCCTCCATGACCGTAGTTGTGAACCACCTAAAACAGGTAAAGCAATGCTGAAGTAGCAACAGTGACATATACGCAAATTGAGAATTAAATGCATAACAAAGTAAATCTTGAAAATTAATCTCGCGATTGTAACTTCCTGCCTCGACGGATTTTTACTGAAATGGGCGACGTCACCGCGCGCGAGAGCGTGAGATGAACACGCTCGTGAAGAATACCTTCAGGTCGCCGGAGGGGAATCTAATCGTCTCCATTTCAACACGAATGGCCTTTCTGCCCGGTCTCAGGCCGACGTCCTCACTGATGACCTCCGCGTGCTACAATACAGAAACGCACACGCTCGTTACGCCACGGCCGCAGAGCCAGATTTAGACACAGTGAGGCCCTTGCGGTGTTCACAAAAGGATTAAACAGATTCAGATACGTTTCAGTATCTTTATTTCTAACGTCCAACACGGAAAACTGGCTGGCCCCGGAAACGCTGTTTCATTACTTCCTTTCACGATAGGTGGCAGCACTAACACAGTATCCTCAACACATAAGCTGATCTATGATTGATGTGCCGACATTCAGATATAAAAAAAAGACATTAAAGCCCTAAGCGATGGGAAGCTGTAGAGGCCTTGCTTGGCAATTGTTATCAGAGAATAAGGACATGTAACAACTAAACTTTCCAAGAATGCTGCATTCAGACTGTGAGGCCCCTAATATAACCTGTAGCTTGTTTAGCCTTAGCTCTAGTACTATAGCCCGCGTACAGTTGCCGCAGGCCTGCGGCAACTGTACGCGGGCTATAGTACTAGAGCTAGTTCCGGCCCTGCACGGCCGTCGTCTTTACAGGGCGCAGGTTTCACCGATGCTAAGTGCCGTGATCTCCGTCCTTATTTCCCGTGTTGCCTCCGAAAATCGGACAGTACCTACGGGAATAAACCAACGTGGCTGTTCGTGGAAACAACTTGCCTTTAGACTTGGCACCATTGCTGTGCATCGTTCCCAGATGGCTTTACTATCAACCTTGTCCACTGATAAATCTGTCCTTCCCTGCTGGCGGACTCCACCCACAACCACGCATTCTCTGCTGCTCACAAACAAACAACAAACGGCACAAAGTTATCGTTGAGTAAATCGCTATAGAAAAGCATGCGCGCGCGAGCACACAGGCGCGCACGGCACGGCACGGCCCAGGGGAAATACAGATTGGCTTTTTGTTACCTACCATGGAATGATGTAGGTGTCACAATCGCCGTGAAAGGATCCATAGACACCGTGCTTGAGCCATGGAGCTTTGACCTAAAATATAATAAGAAAAAACTGCTAGTTACTAAGAGGAATAGAACTTGTTTATAGTTAAGTGCAACGTTTCTTTATAATGAGTAACAACAGCATTGTTAATGCAACAATAGCTCAATGACAAACTCAGAACTGCAACCTAGTAGTACAAGACAAGAAGTGACATAATCTCATGGAACAACACACAGAAATCACTACCACGTCATTGATGCTACATGGCGAGCAATGATGTACCTCGTCGAAAAGTATCACTTGTACACAGCAAGGATGGACTTGTTGCCACATACCCTGTAAATCTGCCCCCTCACTGGATACACTTCTTTGTCGTTTACAAGGCTTCCAGCCTCAACTCCAGTACAGTTTATTACAAGGTCATACTTGTCTACAAACTGAAAACAGATAGTGCAAAAGTCATATTAGCATATTGAATGGCCACAAATGTAAACTGTCTATTCCCTAAAAGTTTTGCTGTGCACTATTTTAATCATCTATCATGTCAAACGACCAGTGTTACCTAACCTGGTCGGTCCTAAGTTGTTCGAAACACAAAGCCTAAATCTATTGCATTAATAATATATCAACAGTAGAACAATACCTCTTCCAGGCTTTGAACTGTTCTTTTCTTCATTGTTCCACCCATACTTTTGAACCTGAACACAATAATGTTAACACGTCAGAATGGTTGAAGTTACAGGACTTCATGAGAAAGATCAAAGTGCGATAAAGATCTAAGTGAAGGATTATGAGAAAGATCAAAGTGCGAACTACCAGTATCACCGTCAGCTTGCATTTCAGGAATGACAATAACTTATTACTATAAACAACAATAGCACGATTTTTATACAATTTTTTGCTTTTTTTTTTTTTACATTCACGCAGACTTCGCCTGAGAACATGTGTCTCAATCAGTTTTAGAACATGACAGCACCTTCTATTGGCACTTGGCAATTTCACTCACAGTGCAATTTCCATTAAGCAGAAAAAACTATACAGGTATATGTGAAATTTTTATTAATTTTCACCTTTTTGTCAGAAACGGCAAGAAGTAGCGACACTCAATCACTAGTGACGTTAGGAAGTACCCATAACTAGAACGACAAATAATTTATTAATATGCATCACAATAAACAACAACAACACATATTTTTCTAAAAAAATGCAAACAACTTTTATCATTTGAGACTAAAAAAAACGTGTCAGTTCTTCCATATAGAGTATAACCCTTTTTTACCTGTCGAAAACATGATAAACAACAATTATTTTTCAACAATTGTTAGGAGAAGGTTTTCTGGCAAGTATGTACATACATTTTGATTGCATTTACCAGATGAACTAATCCATGTAATAAGAACTTACGGGAACTTTACAGGAAACGAGTCCATCTCCTTTGCGGTTACCGGTCGTCCACAGTAAAGAATGTCCACGAGCTCATCATTCTGCGATAGATCACTCTTCATGAGCAATTTTTATATGTATTTCATCAATAGCAATTAATTGTAAATGTACGAAAATACAGGTGGCACCTGTACTCCTAATACAATTAACCCCATGTTAGCAGTCACCTCTATATAGAAAGAAAACCTATCTATAAAATACACATTGGCAGTTCCCTTGATTGACAATTAACTATTACATAACTGAGCAGCAATCTTTATGAACGGATTACCAGCGGACTTGGACACAATTTATTTGTGCTTCGATCAAATAAGACAGCATAGGAAGTCCAATTATATGTTAGATCCAGTGACTCACATATAGCTTTGTATCAAAGAAGTAGTAAGATAACTGTGATGTTCCTGCATTTACAGCCTCAGTTGAATGGACCAGTTTGTTAAAAAAGTCAAAGGAGTCTTTATACCATTGTCTGGAAAATAAGAATCGATGAGTGTACTCTGCAATCACCTATCAATTTTATTGCCATTGAAAATTATTTAACTTTACAATTACAATTTACTTTAGAACTTTACAATTACACCACATGTGGTGGACATGTTATGAATCTCCCATGCCACGGGACATCACTTTCAAACTTAACGGCCACCAAAAAAACATACGTGCTGTGAAAATTCCACGATTTCTCTCACTGGATATAATGACTCAATTAATAAAATCAGCATGGATATCATCCATGAACGAACATTACGAATAATTAAGATATGTCCATCGTCAACGATGCAACATTGCCAGGGAGGTACGTTATGCTCACCTATAGGTGTGCTTCAGTTCGCTTGGCATCCCACCAGGACGGAATATTCCAGCCGCTACATGGCTGGTCGTCTCATCAGTAAACTTGTCAGCGATTATCGTCACGGCGACGTCGGGAAGGGTTTGCTGTATGCATACAGCGGTCGACAAGCCGACCACACCGGCGCCCACCACAAGCACCTTCTTAGGGGCCATATCTAGACGAAGAGCTTCTCACGACTCACGAAACTCCTCTGTGCTGTCTCTGGCTGCAGTGGTCCCGGTCTGTAAGCTGCGGGCAGCCGACCACGAAAGTACGAGTGCAGTACGCCACGGCAGAGCAAACACCGGTCAGACTGATCATCACACGCGTGGACTTTAACCTGAATTGATATAGAACCGATTACAATTACATGGGGGAAAGGGTATATTACGGCACTGTGAAAAGAACTTGAGATTATGAGTCAGTATTATGAGTCAGTATCACAGTATCTGACAGGTTCCATGTCGTTACTATGACTTTCTGTCTGCATGTGATATAGCTCTAGTACTATAGCCCGCACGGGCTATAGTACTAGAGCTACATGTGATACTGATACTGTATTCCTGTAAATGTCTTTACAACTTGTCTGCTTGCTTACAAAATCGTAACTAAACGGGTTAGTACCGGGGGGATTTATCATACTACCCTATCATACTACCCTAGAACAGTACTGAGTACACACTAAACCAATCTTCGCATTCTTCCAACATTTACACGGCAGATATGCTTCTCCATGTCGTGCATTTGACGGGCTCCTACAATAGCGTCAGATCACACACATTTCCAGGAAAAAAAGATTGGTCTACAACTTGTGACAAGTTGTGTACCAACATGTCACTGAGTATCAGTATTAGGCTTACGGCATAGATATAGAATGAAGATCTTTATTCTATATCTATGATATTACCACATTGGGACGCCAGGTTATATATAACTGGGCTATATATAATAATATACAGAGTGGCTATATGCCCGGCAGCCGGCATATATCTGACGGCTGCCGGGCACGGTCTTCGATTTCCTAAATACCCGGCAGTTTTTAATTTTCAACGTTATCTCAAGTAAACAAGGGTGTGGGTTGCTCATAGGGTCTATGTACACCAGGGTACTGCCGGAACGTACCCTGGGTACGGTCCGGTATACCGGAACGTACCCTGGTAACTATTTGATATGGTTAGGATTAGGGTTAGGGTTAGGGTTAGAGAGTAGGTGTAGGCGACTCCCTACTCGTTAGTGGAGTAGGCGAGGTACGGTCCGGCATATTAGATAGTACAAGAGCCGGCAGTAACCTGGGGGACATAGACCCTATGAGCTATACGCTCCCTACAAGCTCAGCAACTACTTGAACTAGTAGGCCCTACACTACAGTACACAGGCACTTGAAGCGTTTCATCTGTAAACACACGCCACCGCCATTGCTGCTGCGCTGCACACTGACACATAAATATATAGCATACTAATATATAACATACTATATATTTATGTGTCAGTGTGCAGCGCAGCAGCAATGGCGGCGGCGTGTGTTTACAGATGAAACGCTTCAAGTGCCTGTGCTACAGTACACACTAGGCCCCTAGCTCCAAGAAACGGTATTGCTATAGGGTTAGAAATGTAATACCGCTGTTCGTTACCCCGTGATCGCTATGGTTAATGCGTAATATTATTGGAGTTATCGCGTTAGCTATCATATAATAAACTCAACAAAGGAGGTACGTATTTCGAACACACACATCTTTACTGATTCCGAAATACTACACATATAATATGTACTCCGGTGCGGAGCCGACGTATACAGATAGTTACGCGACATAGACAGATAACTTACATAGTAGCAGATAGTCGAAACTGGTAGCACGGTAGATAGTCTAAATGTTAGCACAGTATATATACGTGACGTACGTGTCGTGAGTCGGGAGCGAACTCGTAAGGGCCCGGTGTCCCGTCCCTCTTGCTTTTATACTCATCCCCGTTCGTTCTCAAGCCCTACTCTCCCATTGGTCAAGCCTGGCCCGCGTGACCACTGGAGCGTCCAAGATGGCGGGGCCCGTCCGGCCTCTCGCCTTAAACAAAGGCCTTTGTCCCATCCCCCACTGTGACCACGAGCGGGTCCAAGATGCGGCCGCCGCCTCTCGCCCTAAACAAAGCCTTTGTCCCATCTATTTGACGACGCATTTTTCGTGAATCTCTAATTGTATCCTTTAACCTATGAGGTATTCCTTATGACAGAAATCCTCCACAGCCTGCGTCGCGCTGCCTAGGACATAGGCTTATCCCCCAGGGATGCGAAACGTACCTTGGGTACGGCTCCGTATAGCGGAACGTACCCTGTCACATAATTGATACGGTTAGGGAGGATTAGGTAGAATTAGGGTAGGTTAGGGTAGCGTTAGAGTAGGGGTTTAGGACTAGCTAGGCGACTCCCTATGACCGTAGTGAAGTAGGCGAGGTACGGCCGGCATATTAGATATACCAATGAGCGTTCCGGTAAACCGACCGACCCAAGTACCCCGGCGCATACCCCTGGGACATAGACCCTCTCAGCCAAGCTTCCAGACTATACCCGCGAACGCGCCGCAGCATCCGCCTAATCCGGATATCCGCATGCCTGCGGCAGCGACCGCGCCAAGTACTAGAGCTAAGCACTCTCAGCCTAACTAGGCCACCTACAGCTACACCCGAGGTGCAAACCACTTAGGCACCTAATATCAAAAGGAGCACAGATTCGTGTACACCCACTGATCACAGACCTTCNCACACACACACACACACACACACACACACACACACACACACACACACACACACACACACACACACACACACACACACACACACACACATACTTCAAGCGACGCAGCTGTACTACACAGAGAAAGCCGCAGACATGTAACGCGGTCAAAACCATCCTAACTCTGTTTACTTTTGCTTCATAAAACTTTTATTAGTCTACCAAAATCGCGGGGCGGTGTGTGGCTAGGCAGGTAGAATGCATATAGCATGCGGTAAAGCCGTATATATATATATATATACCTACAGTAGTTTTCATGCGCCGTGGTGTACGATTATGGTGCTTGATATTGTTTGTTTCTATCCTCGTCTCTACAACGTCGCTATCGCGGTCGGCAGGCGGAGGGCGGCAGGCGGAGGGCGGCAAGCGGAGGGCGGCAAGCGGAGGGCGGCAAACGGCAAGCGCGCAGTCTCGTGACGTACACACGCTATTCGATGAATACAAGAATTGACAGCAAAGGTGAACAACGGCCGAGGCTGCTCCCGCGGGAAAACCACGTCTTTAGATCGTTATCGCTTGTTATCAACCACGCGTCGGGGCGTCCTACGGGCTTTAATTCATATAGTCAACCATTTCGTAATTGTTACGTTAGAAGGCGCTATAGCCGATTTTTATGCACACGACGCGTGTGCATGCCTGCGAGCGTGTCGCACGGGTGCACAGAGTACAGCGAGTGAGGAAGTGATGCACATAATATGTATATATATATATATATATATATATATATATATA